AGCATTGGCCCCTGGCCGGTGGCTCTGGGATTCTGTCCAGCAGCTGCCTGAGCACTTCTGTCTCAAGGACAGTGCTGACTGCTGCCTCTGACCAGGCATCGCTGCCCATGGAGCTTTCAGTTCTGGGGTGAAAGAAACAGGTCTCTAGTCCCGACCTGCCTGTTTCTGGTCACACCAGCCTCTTGAAAGAACAATGGAAATGAGAGCCCTGTTCCATCCTGCACTTGTTTCCTAGGGTGTATTTTACAAAAACTGGGAGATCTTTAATTATGTTCCTATAAAGAAAGAAAGAAGATTGTTTTTAACACTAAGTAGCCACAATATTCTTTAAACCCAGAGGAAAAAAAAAAAGAATTCCAAAACTGATGCTTTTTGCATATACAGTTTACAAAGTTTGGCTTGATAATGTAGTTTCTTTTTTTCCCCCAGAATTTTGATCCTGAGAGAACAAAAATATTTCTAGGAGAAATCTTGATGTTATAAATCATATCGTGTCCTTAAAAAATAAGCACAGACCACATTGCCTGAGACTAATTAAAACTTCAAACCAAAGGGAAAAAAAGGGGGAAAGAGGGTTTTTTAACTCAAGTAAGTAAATTTGACTTATTCTAACTGTTAATTTTGGTCTTACACTTTCCAGGTAAATTGCCATGACATAGAAGGTCATGATTTCCTATGTTTCCATTTGCACGTCATTTGTTGTTAAAAAAAAAAAAAAAAGGTAAAGACTTACTAATCAAACATTTCTAAATACAACAAAAAGTAACCCAAATAAATTTCAGGTTCACATGATCTGGTGAATATTCTGTTAAATTAATATCTAGTATTAGAGTTAGTTTAAGTTTGTTAATTAATACAGACACATCTTTAAAGTCATCAATGTTAAGTATAGTACTTTTATTGTACCCAGCTTTACTGAAAGTTAGTAAGTTTACTTTATATCTGCTGCAAAATATGCCAGCAAGAAACTTAACTTGGTATGATAATATTGTCTTAAGTAATAAAATAGAGATAAATAATGTAAAAGCTTTTAGGTGAACTCTTTAGAAATAATGTTTTAGTTTTTCCACATTCTTAGTATCTTAAAACCTTGGAGTTTTGCTAAATTAAGTTAACTGATCAAAATTCCTAGAAAGTAGGTCATTTTTATCAATAAAGCATACTTAAGGCATCAAAAATTTTTTAAAAATCTAGATTATTTTAATTCAGATAAAATACTAAAACATTTATTGCTAAGCAAGTCTAAGTTTACCCACTTTTGCCTTCTTGTGAGAGAGAAAAAAAAACTGAAGATGTTAGGGTTTATTAGACACACGTCTGGTACCACATTAAAAAGGAAATTATACTGTGAAAAAAATCTATGTTTTTAAGAGGCTATTCCAGCAGGACAAACAGATTGCATTTGCTTTCTTCTTGGTTTTCACTAGAGATTAAGGGTTTTTTTTTTTAAGGGTTAAAAATTATAATGTGTAATTGAAGTTACTAAAATAATAAAAGAAGCATTTCAGTGGGTAAAAAAAATAGGAAATATGCTGTTGGTGGTAGAATATGTGAAAAGTAGAAATACATTTGCTGGGGAAAAAAGAGGAGAATAGTTTTAGCCTCAAGATGGATAAAAATGATAGAAAGCTTGTGGAAAAGGAGCCTTGAGAAAAGAGTTCGGTACATGATCAAGATTCATTAAGATTAGATTGCATTTAAGTAGGTAAATGAAGTATGTTCTTAAGGAAGCTGACAGAAGACTGGAGTTTGGTTTTATCTTTCTGTTAAAAGAACAAAGTTTTGTTAGAATACTGCTTTTGATAACAGATTTTGTCAATTACTTTGCCTTTAAGTGATGTATAATTGCTTTTGAAATCTTTTGTCACTTTGGTTAAGTGAATAGGCATTGTTTCACAGTGCTCCTACTTGACCAAGTGTTTTTGAACCTTTTTGATATTTTTGAAGAACTTCCCAAATATCAAGTTCTAATTAAAGTTCTTTTGACCTCCAGCTAGCTTTGGGATGATTCAGAGGGCACCTGAATCATCTCAGAGAGAAATATTAAGTTAATTACACTTTTTGATAGACTAAATGTCATGGAAAGCATTGCCAGATAATAATGATAAACATTCTTAGGTTATACTGTGTGGGTAAGTGTCATTAATAGAAGTCTTCTAGATTTTATCTGAAGTCCCATAATTTAAATATGTCCTGTCATCATGTTATCAGTTATACTTTTAGTTATTCTCTTAAAATGTTGTTTGTCACAGCAAGATGGTTAAGTTTATCAATTACATTGTAATCATATCAACCTTTCCCCTTAAGCTAATTATGATTTCTAGCAATTTGGTAAATTACACATTTGTAAGCAGAATTGAAGCATTTATCCTTTCTCTCAACTGGATCTTTCCAGAAATTAGAAACTCTTAGGTTCCCAGCAGCTCTTCCAGGTGAATAAGGAAGGCCACTTCCTGACAGATGCACGAACCTCAAGATATTTTGAAATTCAGGAAGAGAGGAATGTGCCCAAATCTGTAGATATTTCCGTTGAAATCTGTGGCAAGCCGTTGACGTGGCTCCTGGATTTCAGATGCCTTTTTAAAAGTTCAGTCTGCTGGGGGTTTTAGTAATAAATATATGTTTTCCCTGTTACCTTTCGAAAATCTGAAAACACAAGGACTGCGAAACACATCTAGTTTCAAGTATTTCCTAGAAGGGACTGTGGGCCAGTGAAAGCCAATCAGATTTTCCATGATCCTTTTTTTTTTCATACCTGTTTATATGTGAGGACGTCCCATGGTGTGTGGTTTATTATTAAGGCAATTGCACACCCCCCATGGAAATCAGAAAAGCTTATGACACAAGGTACCTATAACATCAGAAGTGACACCCAAACAATGGCCCACCCTACCAGCCTCGGAAGGCCAGAGACTCACCTGGGAGACTTACTGTCCCCCAAGACTATGGGATAAGTGGCAACTGGAACCTTCATTTTTGTGCCCTGAGTAATTCAGTTCCCTGAATTAGACAAAAGCGGCTATACCCAGTGGTGCTGTTGGTTGAAACAGGAAATACAGTTCAAAAACAATGCATACTCCCCATGGGGAGCCCCTGGGGCCTGTTAGGTAAGACTGAACCCCAAATCTGGATGCCAGTCAGTGCTCAGCTCCACCCTGAAAAGCAGTATTTGGTTGTACCCTAAACACAGTAGGGCTCAGAGGACACCCCAGCCTGGCCCATCGTGGAGACTCCAGTACAAAATGCTATCTGGTGATGGGGAAAGAACAGTTATGCTGGGAAGGCAGGCTCAGTGAAACCATGGTGCTCTCTGACTTATAAAAATAAAACTGTTAATGTCAGAAGGACAAGAATCTGCTACAGCACTCAGCCCATGGGAAACCTTTTTTGTTCCAAGTGAATAAGACTTTTAACAACCTAGATGTTGAAAGACAAGCTATTTCTAGAAACCAGCTTGTCTCTACTTCTGGAAATCAGTCTAATGGAGGCTCAATGGCCAGAAAAGCACTTCAGGTTATTAGTCCAAGAAACACCACCACTGTTCAGAAATAACACAAGAAATACCACTTGTTTACAGTAAATCAAGGGGGAAAGCATGTAACTGGCCTCATTAAAGAGCACGACAGTGCTGGCAGGGGACCCTCTGG